AGGGAACTATGTATTCCCAAAGAAGTTTCCAAATGTTTTTACATTTGAGTAAGAAAGAAACTATGGTTCCAAAAGAGCCTTTGGGCTAGTTTTCAAGAAAAAGGAACATCGTTTCCAAGTGAGCCTTCAGGCAAAGTTTTGAGTAATTATCTCAAATAAAGAAAGATGTGTTTAAAACACTTATGAGCTAAGTATTTTTGGGAGTAGTCTTGAGCACCGAATTGGGGCACGAGTTCATATAAACTCAACTCTCCATAAGAACCATGCGCCAACATGGGAGTTAACGGGTCATACTTTTTAGATGAATCTGTAAGATTAAGCTAGTGGATCCACTTAGTAAAGTTAGCTTCCTATATCACGGCAAGGTATAGGATGGTCCTTGGGCAACGTGAGGTAAAACGTTGTATCACCACTAGGGCTCATAGTGGTGATTGTCGGTTGAAAGAGTCTCCTACTAAATTTATATTACTTTTATACAAGTAAAGTTGAGTTGTTATTGTTTTATCTTTAACAAGCTAAGTTGTTTACATGGTTTTACAAGCTTTATATATTGCATGTGTCGTATTGCTTTATATATTGAGTTCACTTATTCATGAGTTGAACAGAGCCAAGGTAAGAGTTCATTTGTACTCTTTTTCAAGCTTAAGTTGTGGTTTAGCCTTCCAGCTCGCATACTCGTACATTCAATGTACTGATGCCAGTTGGCCTACATCTTATTATGATGCAGACGCAGGTACCCAGGGCCAACATCCGGTTCGCCGTTGATCCAGTTGAGTACTTCAGAGTCAGTGGTGAGCCTCTTTGCATTCTGGAGGACTCGGTTATTTTGTTCTCTTAAGTTTTGTTTTGTTAGGATGTTATGGGGTCTGTCCCAACATCCATCTCAGTATTTTAGAGGCTTCATAGACGGTCGGTCAGTTAGTTGGAGTCTCTCATTTATGTATATATGTAAATATTCTATTTTGAGACTCGAGATGCCTTTATGGTCAGATTTTATTTTAGTCAGGTTGTTTTAAAACCTTGCATTGCATTGAGTTATGCTGTTGAGTTAAGTTTCCGCTGAGTTAAGAAAGCCAGGCCAAGGGTTCACTTGGGGGCCAGCGATGGTCTTCGAGTGCCAGCCACGTCCAGGGTGTAGGCTCGGGCCGTGACAGGTATATTGTGCTTGTCTTGTTCTGTTTATGGGTTATTTTGGATATGACTGACTTCGATATAATCTTAGGCATAACTTGGTTGTCCTCCTATTATGTTGTGCTTAATTGTAATGCTAAGTCTGTGACTCTAGAGATCCCAGGTAGGGAAAAGTTGGAGTAGGAAGGGGTGTACACACTTAAGCCATCTAAGGTCATATCTTTCATGCGGGTTAGGAAAATAGTGAGGCAGGGGTGTTTGGCGTAGTTGGCTCATATTCGGGAGATTAATGTTGAGCCTCCCTCTATTGAGTTTATTCCTGTAGTATCTAAATTCAAGGAAGTGTTTCCTATCGATTTGCCTGGTATGCCTCCGGATGGAGATATAGATTTTTGTATTGACTTGGAACCTGACACTCGCCCCCATCTCCATTCCTCCTTATCACATGGCTCCAGTAGAATTGAGAGAGCTTAAAGCTCAAATCTAGGAGCTTCGTGATAAAGGTTTCATCCGTTCTAGTGTTTCCCTATGGGGTGCTCCTGTTTTGTTTGTTAAGAAGAAGGATGGTAGTATGAGGACTGGTGATTTTATCTTAAGCCATAAACGAGTGGATTGATACCAGAATGACAAGCTTATGGATAAAGAAAGTCCCATTGAGTATACTTGGATGAAGGAAATTGAAGATTTTATTAAGAAAGTGTGTATAAAATTGGGTTTGTCCTTTGAATTTGATGAGTATACTTGAGTTTGAGGTGTCATGTCGATGAAGAGGTTGACTTCGTAGTAATAGTCAGGGCTAACTGAGCATAATGGTAATAAGAGTTTGTCATGGATTGTGATGGGATGCAACTATATAATAAGATTGTTGGTTAAGCGAATTTTGTATAGTAATTACGACGTGCGAATATATAAGGTTGTGATTTTCTAATATTTGGTGAGTAACGTGGTTGTATGGAAAGTTTTAAGAGATGGTGGGACACCATTCGAATAGAATTTAAAAGACCTAGAGTCATAAAAAATGTGGGATGTAGTACAACCTTTAAAAAGAGGCGAGGGCAAGAATATTTTTATTTGATTGCAAAGGCTAAAGTTGGTATCAGATGTCTAAAGATCAATTTTTATAACTTAAGCTCATGGGAATTTATGTTGTGGGATGGAGATGTGGTTAAGAACTACGATTGTTTGGGTATTATGAGTGTGTGTTGGTTGGTTCAGGTTCATTTCTAATTATAGTGAGTATTGATGTGGAATTTTATCATGCTTATGTGAGAAATGATTCATTTTGATGATTGTGTCAAGGCCCTTGATAACATGTTGCACACGTGTGCACGATCAACTTTGGTGGCTATTGGGAAATGCTTTTGTTGTTAGTTAAGCTTACATACAACCATATTTATCACTCGAGTATTGAGATGACTTCATTGAGGCATTGTATGAGAGGGTGTGTAGGTATTCAATTAGTTGGTTTGAGGCTGGAGATGTGAAACCCTTAGGGGTTGATTTGGTGAAAGATGCTCAAGATAAGGTGAGAAACATCCAAGCTAAGCTTCTAGCAGTTCAGAGTCGACAGAAAAAGTATGCAAACCATAAGGTAAGGGGGTGATGAGATTCAGTAAGAAGGGAAAGATTAGTCCTTAATACATCGGGCCATTTGAGATTCTTGACTATGTAAGGCCAGTGACTTATAGGCTAGTTTTACCGCGTAGCCTATCTAGAGTCCATCCAGTGTTCTATGTGTACATGTTGAAGAAGTATCATGAGGACCAAGGAGATAAAGTCTGTGGAAGTTCAATGGAAGCATCGTCCAGTTGAGAAAGCTACTAGGAAACCAAGAAGGACATGCGAGACAAGTATCCCTAGCAATTCGACGATTCAGATACTACTCTACTTTTGCCTTAGTCAGTTTTCCTAGTTAATCACTCGGGGACGAGTGATGGGTAATTTGGTATCTATTGTAACGACATGTTCTCGTCATTATGGAAAAGCCAATGAGGAAAGAATTTGGGCTATAAAACTTTTAAGAAGTAACTTGGAAATTTCTATCCTAGGCAAGACTTGGATGAAATTTGAGTCAGGTGAGGTCTAGGGAAATCTGGTAATAGACTGGGGGTTTGATTATGAATTTGATCACATGAGTGTATAGCCAAGAAGTTAAGGAGTCTGTACAACTTTACGGAATCATATTCAGGTGAGTAGAACTCCCAAAACTGATCTTGGCATAGAAGGGTTATTTTTAAACATCCAGGTTTGAAGGTGTGTTGTGAAATGAGAGCTTGGAACTTAAATTCCAAGCTTCTGTCTCCGTGCAAGCCACCAGAAAGGGGTTAGTTTCGGTAGGGTAGGGACACTGTGGCGAGTTGGGTCCCGCTGTGGCGGGACAGTCGCGAATTAAGTCAAAAAACCCCAAAATTATTATTTTCTGTAAAACTTCGTTCTTGAGAGCTAAGAGGCGAACTAGAGCAGTTCTTGACAGTTTTCCACGAGGTAAGATAATTACTCCCCTAATCCGTAATTCAATTCTTAGAACTTAGAAACTTGAGTAATTATCATTGGGGGAGGGTTTTGGCCTGATGTTGATGGTGGAAAAATCCCTAATTGAGTATTGAGATCTTGGGTTTTGCCTAGGATTGATAATTTGATTATTATCCGGGTAAATTACATCTTGTTTATTGATTCTTGCATTACTTAACTGTTGTTAGACTAAGAACAAGTGGAAATAATCCGTAAAAGGAAGGCTCAAGTGTCTTAGGAGGATTCAAACTTGGTTTCGAGGTAGGTGATGGTTTGATTTCCTATTTGTGTGATATATGCCGATTAATTACTTCATTGTATGCATGTGTGTATGTGAATAAGGGAATGTGAATCAAATCTAATGCAAATGAGTATATATGAACAATTACATGCCATGAAACCAATACTTGATTGTATGACTATGATCGTTGTTCATTATGGGTGTGATTGTGATTGTGGTTGTGTTGACTGGATCGAGTGTCAAGTTCTGACACATAGATTGGATCGGGTGTCACGTTCTAATACATATATTGGATCTGGTATCACGTTTCAACACATATATTGGATCGGGTGTCACGTTCTGACAGACTAACAGTTTGGGTATGGGTTCCATAAGAGGACCACTATGATGATTACATTCATGTCTACTTGTCGTTAAGTATCTTAGTTGGGTTGTAGTAATGGTTCTCGCACCAGAGGGTTAGTGTGGGTGTCAATCACGACAGTCTGGGTCGTGACAATATATCCCTACCACTACTTTTTTTTGTGCTGAAGCAATATCCATAGAATATGGATTGCCTTTTGTGTGAGCTATAATCTAATGCTTTGACTATATAAACTCATTCATTAATTAATTATAAGTGGGTATCTCTACCATCTTATAGTTAAGCAATGTCAATATGTCTAGACTCTAGACTATAAGTTTCATATTTTCTTTGCCTATACATAAATAGGTGTGTGCATGTAATTACACACAATTATTACAGAAAGAGACTCTTGGTTATATCTAGTACCCAATAAGCTACTTTTATATTAAGAAGGTATTAGGTTAAGTTTCTAAGTGGTTCAAACTAGTTCATAAGCATATTTTTTTAAGCTTATCATATAGTTGACAAATACTAAAAGTGCTTATAATCCGAAATCAACCATGTGTGGCTCGCGCTGATCCAAAAAATAGAAGGAGCTTTTATTTTTATTTATCAATATCCATCTACTCAGGCTTTCACCCAAACAACAGTTCTGAACGAAATTAGAAATTACACATCCACTCTTTTTATTTTCACTACATATATATAGTAGACATTTCAAAGCACACTCATTAACCACACCACATAATATTATTTCAAGTACTATATTTATGTATCACTTGATGTGGTAACTCTCAATATCTTTAGTGATATTGAGACACAATTCCATGAAAGTGTGTGGATCTGGCACATTTGCATTCTTCTTTTCATATTCCAAGATCCAAGTAACTAAGTTGTTTTCACCCTTTGTCTCAACATGAATAGTGAGGTAAAATGATTTGTAATACTCTAACATATCTCCTTCAATCATCTTTTTTTTAACCAACTTCTTTTCTTCATCTATTTCTTCAATAACTTCCTTTGCCACCATCTCTTTCCCATCTGCAAACAAATATATATAGTAAAAAAATCATACAACTAATTCGTTTATAAATGATTGAGCGAGTTGGATTGAATTTGGACCAATTAAAAACGGTCGGAATCAATAGAAGTGTTGGATCCAATTCATGAATTGATTAGTTTGAGCTATATAATGTGTTATTTATTAGTTTGAGTTAGATATAAAAAAAATTTAAGAGCTATATAATGCGACGAAAATCTATATAAGTGGATCCAACAATAAATATTGAAACCAAATATAATACGGATTTACCATGGGTGAATTTCCATAACCTAACAGAGTCAATAGTGCCCAATTCACCTTCATGAATATCCACTTTTTGTATCTTATCAGGGCATATGTTGCACATATGATGTGGTTTGTACATAATTATTTCATGGAACACATCTCCATCACACTTGATGTTTATCTCAGAAACCAATTTACCTTCAAGACTCATTTTTCTTTAAGTTTATAATAACAATTGTGTGGTTCATCATTACATGATGAGTAGCTCTGCCTTTATATAGTTACACAGTGTCAATATGTTTAGACTCTAGACTGTAAATTTGGTATTATTTTTTTTCGCTATACATAATTAGGTTTGTGCATGTAACTAACTACACACAATTATTACAGAAAAAGATTCTTGGTTATAGGTAGTACCCAATAATCTACTTTTATATTAAGAAGGCATTAGGTTAAATTTCTAAGTGGTTCAGACTAGTTCATAAGCATATTTTTAAAGCTTGTCATATAGTTGGCAAACACTTATAATTCTCAAGTGCTTATAATCCGAAATCAACCATAAGTTGGTCATTTTAAATTTATGGTTTTAGAGCTTATAAGCATTTTTAATTTGACCAATCACTTTACAATTTAACCTTTTCTATTTTTTTGTACTCCCTAAAATGTTCTTCCTAGAATATAGCTTTGAATTATCCCTTTATTTTATTTCCTTCATTTGTTCTTTTTATGTGTAAATACTTTTAAATTATTTTTTTAAATAGATTTAACGACATTAATTCAGTCATTATTTTAGAAAAGAAAGCTTATCAACATTATTTTACCAAACACATTATTTGTTTATTATCAATTTTAGCACCCTAAGCGTAACCACTTGTTTATAAAGAAATGATGCCTATCCCCACCCCCCACCCCAACCAAACTCTATATCTCTTTTGCAAATTTTATGTCGAGATTAATTATAGACATGTTGTTTTAGAATTGGAGAGGGGACCTTGTGCATGCCAAAAAATTGGCAGATTAAATTAGGACTATTATTGTTGAGAAGATGAACTAACTGACATTTTTCTTAACCAACCACTAACCAAATTAGTTTTATTCCTCTTTTCATTTTTGCACAACTAATTACATCTATTTAATAATGTGTTCAAACTGAAGTATAAGTCATATGAATTAAAGTATTTTTTACCTTCAGCAATGACTTTTCACCACAATCCATCTTTTTTCTTGTTATTATACTCATCACTTTGTCATTAGCAAGCAACTATGTAATTCAAGCAGAAGCACGACATCTTCTTTAAATAACTCTGCCCGAGCTTCCTAAGCCTAAATTGCTACATCTTCCTGAAAGGCATAATACATAAATATGCCCTTTAACTTGGCTTCAAAACACATTTATATCCTTCAACTTTGGGTGTGCACAAGTAGACACTTAAACTTGTATAAAGTTGAACAAATAGACACACATATCCTACATGTCATTTTTTGTCCTACGTGTATTGTTCCACGTAGACTCACGTGTCTACTTGTTCAAGTTTATACAAGTTTAAGTGTCTACTTATGCATACCCAAAGTGGAAGGGCATAAATGTGAAATTAGGCCAAATTAAAGGGCACATTTATGTATTATGCCTTCCTGAAATCCCAACTTTGTCTAAGCCTGAATTCCCTGAAATTCAAAAACCCGAGCTGCCAACTCTGCCAAAGCCCGAATTTCCAGAAATCACAAAGCATGAACTTCCAACGTTGCCAAAACGCGAGATTCCTTCCATTCCTAATTATAAGCCTGAATTGCCAACTTTGCCAAAACCATAAATCCCACAAGTGCCTAAAAAGCCTTGAGCGCGTGGCATATGAAATTTTGCGTGGCATATGAAATTTATCTTTCCCTTATTGAAGTAACATAGTTAAAATGTAACATTTCATTAGGTAGTGTGATCGTGTATGTTTGCCTAATATAATGTTCTTGTGTTTTAATTTGGAAGGATTATTTATGTGATTGATTATGTAGTTGTTCTGTCAGCAGTTCACTATTATAATGTTCTTGTGTTTCTAGTGGTACAATACACCCATCGTTTATATTATTTGAAAACTTCAAATCTTTGAGGTGGTTTTTACATTAGCTAATTTTGTAGTTCCCTATCACTACTAAAAAAAACTAAAATTGGCTATGGACAAATTCTGCAGCTAAATAATAAAATTTATCGTTGATCCTATTTAACAAAATTTTGTAGTTCCCTATAACTATTAACGTTCGATACTAATGTGTGTCCTCCGTACCCTCTTGTCTAGGGTCATATCATCGGTAACCTGAAGTTGCGTCAATTCTTTGTCCTATCACCTCTTCCCAGTACTACTTCAGTCAACCTCTACCTCTCCTTGTACCCTCAATAATCAACCTCTCGCACCTCCTCACGGGTGCATCTAATCAGTGGCGGAGCCATATGTAGTTAAGGGGTGTTGTTCGACACCCCTTCGTCGGAAAATTACATTGTGTAGCTAGAATAATTTTTTTATGTATATATATTACATAGTGACACTCCTTGACTTCTATACGATTTTATTTCTTTATATTTTGACACCTCCAGGCGAAATTCTAGCTCCATCTGCGTCTAATCATCTCATCTTTACATCTCCAAACCATCTCAATCTCGCTTTCCTCATCTTGTCCACCACAAATTGATCCTAGTAAGACCACACATCCACCTCAACATCCTCATCTCTACTTGTCACACCCCAAATCCAGATGTGATGGCACGTGTCCATTTCCCACCGGACACGTTAGCCTAACCCAACCACAACGATAGAGAAGTAGAAATACGAGAATAAAAGATAATAAATAAGCGAAAGACTTTAATTAAGACTCAACACTACCCAGAATTTGGTTGTCACATGTACAAACCTCTAAATACAGAATTCGAATAAAAATATGCAAGTCTTAGAATATAGTTCTCGAATAGAACAAAACTGAAAGTAAAGATAACTCAAGGGAACGTCTGGAATGAACCGCTACCTCTCGAGTATGTCCCGAAGCTCAATCTGCTAAAGAAACTACTAAGCCGAATCTGAGAGAGAGCTGTCAACCTACACAATTGTGTAGAAGCAAGGGTGAGTACCGAAAACCACAGGTACTCGCAAGTAACTCTAAACTAAGCAAAACTAGCAGCTACAAACAACTCCCTTCAATCCCAACCGAACCACCGAAACTTCAATCTAGCAGCAAACCAATTCAACCTATACTAAACAGATCATATTCAACAGCCAGAACCAACAGTATATCCTCATAAACATCAGATCAACAAATAAGAGCAGGTAGATCAAATTCCACATAAAAAGGGTAAATCGATACAATCCACACATCTCAGACAAAGATAAGGCAAATGCGATGCAAAATGCAATAATGATGTCATGTAGTCGTGATGCATGTCTGTCCTACGATACACATCTGTTGACGTAATCAGTCCGCGCTGAATACTCAAATCAGAACCCATGGGGGCCACACATGGACCATGTATCACCGCCGGAACCAGATCCCATCGGCATCCAAATCACTAGCCGGAGCTAGTCCATCTCATATATCTCTAGCCAGAGCTAGTCTCAACTGTGTCTCATATCCATCCATCCTCATATCAGTGTCTCAGAACTCATGCAACAGATAGTTCACACATGGGATGAATAATGAATATGCACATGTCATCAATCACAATCATATCACGATCACATCATAGTATTACACATCATATGTCTCAATCACAACCATATCACGACCACACCATAGTATTACACATCACCTATCTCAATCACAACCATATCACGACCACATCATAGTATTACACATTATCTGTCTCAATATCAATGTCTGTATCAATCATAGCCTACTCATGCTCTTCTATCCCCTCAATATCAATTATCACATGACTTATTCAACAAATTCAAGTCACATATAACACATTTAGCTCATTTTATTCCCCATTTTTCATTTACAACAATTTCAATCAACAAATAAAACCCATCCTCAATCCCAATTACTCCCCAACACAATTAGGAAAGTAGTCATGCGTAGTCTAAGAGTTTTACAAAGTTTGGAAGCCACTTGCCTTAAAACGAACTCCAAAAGTTACTTGACTTGAGCCTTTCCTTTCCGAGTATAATCCGGATCACAATAATCTATTCAAACAATTATTCACAATCACAATTCGAGTCCAATGACACCAAAATCAAGAAATTTAGGGAAAAAGGGCAAAACGGTCCAAAAGTCTCATACTGGAAAACGATACCCAAATCTGGATATTTTTTATGTAAAATGATCCTTAAACTATTTGGAAGCTAATGGTGAAAACCAATTTGAAAACGGAGTTGAAATCAATTCACAAACTCAATTTGAAGGAAAATCCACGTTCTTGAAGAAGCCTAAAATATTCGGATCCGAAATCCCGACTCGAAAATGAAATATCTCTTGAAAAACATCTTACCCATGCTTAGATAAGTTCAAATATGAAATTTCATCAAAAAAGGAGTCCAAATCGATAAAACCCCAATTTTTTTCTCAAGAGATTTACAGATAGGAAAAAAAAACATATAAAGAAATTATGAGAAAATGTCAAATTGAAGATTGAATACTAACCCTCATATTAATTCAAGAAGAAACCCGTAAGAATCACTCCATTCCGATCTCTAGAACTCCCGATATGCTCAAAATACCAAATGAACACAATCTGAGATTTTTATAACAGTACATGGCTGTTATGCACCAGAAAAACAGCAGTTAATCTTTCACTAAAAAGGTCGTAATTTCCTCATACGATAGTGAAATGACCTGATTTTTTTTCGTAAATGTCTTAAATAATGATACGGACCTGCTCGTTCAATCGGAGCTCAATTTCATGCTCGTTGCCCAATCAAATATCATTTCTACTCGGTAAATAATTATTTCTTATTTGCGATAAAAGTCCAATCTCGAGTTAGCGAAGATGCACCAAAATTTGCAGATAAGTCCTATAATTCATGCTCAAAATTTCAGAACTTTAAGAATAATTTTTTGACCTTTAAAACTAATAATGAACCCTTTAGTTGCCACAATTTGCTGAAATAGTGTCAAAGCATCCAAGAAGCTTAAAAGCTCACCCAAAACTCATTTGGCACTTCCCGAACACAACCAAATATGCTACTAGCTTGAAAATGACATTTCGGACTCAATGAAATCGTCGGAATTTGAATTCGAGGTCTCCTTGACCCGGTATCCGATAAGGCGTCAAGAAACTAACTTTAGGCTCAAAAACTTGAAACGCACTCGGGGCCTCTAAAAATTCAACCAACACTTATTCTAGACTTAGAATCACCCCCTGAATCCAACGGTGCCCTCGGAATTCCATTTCGAGCACCGGAACCTCGTTTGTTGACCAAAGTCAACTCTTGATCAAAATTTCACAATTTGTGCAACTAAGGACCTCAAATCTTCGTTTTAACTCCAAATTCGACTCCGTAAATTCTCATAGACCCATTTCGACATTCTAAAACTGCTGGAATCGACGGAAATCCGATTCGAGTCTCGAAACTCCAAATGACTCGAAATAGCACTTTTAACCAAACTTTAACTCTTAAAAACTCAACTTTTCATCAATTTTCCTTCAAACCAACTTCGAAAATACAACAATTAGGACTCGGGGCAACTATCGGGAGGGGTAAAACGGTCATTTTATGAAAATTTTTAAAAATGACCTTTAGGGTTATTACACTGCTATAGGCATCTTATGGACATGGGAATTCTTGAGTAGCCAACCTTTAGTCCCATAAAGCAATGTCGTTCGAATCACCAAAAAAAATATCCTTATTTGACCGGATTAAAAAGAGACTTTATAGAACTTACATTTGAGTTTCAGCGGTACCTTCTTATCACACAAGACTTCAGAGGCAAGTCTCCACTTCATCCACACCACACCAATACAATGTGTGATAGCATCGTCGACGTCCCCACTCCTTGAACTATAAACCCTAAGATACCTAAATCTATCTCTCTTAAAGATATTTTAATTATGTAATTATTTTAAAATATAATTATATTTAGTAGAGATGATAGTTGTTTAATTTCTATAGCTATAGTTAGTTTTTCCTTCTTTTTTATAGAAGAAACTAGAAAGTACGATAGGATATATATTTTTTATTTTTATACTATTTTTCTTCTTCAATCCCCTTTATAAAAAAAAATGGTACAGTTGAAAGGAAAACACATACATTGGCTAATTTCCAGCATAGAGAAAAAGAAAAGAATAAGAAAAGGGAAACTCTTATGCAATCCAAATAGTAGCTTTTATTTATATTATATAAGCAGAATTTTACAAAATAGAAATTACATATCCACTCCATTTATTTTTGTTACATATATATAGTAGATATTTCGAAGGACATTCATTAATAACACCACACATTATTCCAAGTACATATACACATGTATCACTTAATGTGGTGAGTTTCAATATCTTTAGTCATGTTGAGAGCAAATTCCATATATGTGTGTGGATCTGGCACATTTGCATTCTTCTTTTCATATTCAATAATCCAAGTAACCAAATTGTTTTCACCTTTTGTCTCAACATGAGTAGTGATGTAAAATGATTTGTAATCCTCCAATATATCTCCTTCAATTATCTTTTTCTTAATCAACTTCTTTTCTTCATCTATTTCTTCAACTATTTCCTTTACCACCTTCTCTTTCCCATCTGCAAAAAAAATAAAATTTAAAAATAGTAAAGATTCCATACTACTAATTTCATTTTTGAATGATCGATGATTTGGATTATATTGAATCTGAACAGGTTAAAAACGATTTGAATCAATATAAGTGTTGGATCAAATTAATGACCCTTGTATATATACATATATATATATATATATATATATATGTTATTCTTATGCTATCATGTAAGAAGTATAAAACTAAAACTAATGGACCATATTCTACCAGAAAACAATAAATATTAATGTATTTTACCATGGGTGAAGTTCCAGGAACTAACAGAGCCAACAGTGCCCCATTCACCTTCATGAATATTCACATTTTGTATCTTATCAGGGCATATGCTTGACATATGATGTGGTTTATGCCCTAAAATCTCATGAAAAACATCTCCATCACACTTGATGTTTATCTCAGAAACTAACTTTCCTTTAAGGCTCATCTCTCTTATATATATCAAAAAGTTATAATAACAAGTGTGGTTCATCATTACATGAGTATCTCTGCCCTTTTATAGATAGACAATGCCCATATGTCTAGACTCTAGACTAAAGTTTTGTATTTTTTCTTTGCCTATACATAATTAGGTGTCTGTATGTAAATACACACAATTATTACAGAAAAAGACTCTTCCTTATATCTAGTAATAACTAGTACACTTATTAGTACACAATAAGCTACTTTTATATTAAAAAGGTGTTGGTTAAGTTTAGGGAAAATGCATAAGCACCCCCAACTTATGCCCTGAATCTCACAGACACACTTATACTATACTAAGGTCATATTACCCTCGTACTTATTTTATAAATAATTTTCTACCCCTTTTTGGCCTATGTGGCACTATCAACCAGATAGCTTGAAAAAATTGTCAACACGCGTTGGGCCCAGAAGATAATGCCACGTAGGCCGAAAAGGGGTAGAAAATTATGTATAAAATAAGTTCGGAAGGATAATAGGACCTTAGTATAGTATAAGTGTGTCTCTGAAATTTCGGGTATAGATTGGGGGTACTTATGCATTTTCCCTTAAGTTTATAAACTGTTCAAACTAGTTCATAAGCATATTTTTTAAGCTTTATCATATAGTGGGCAAACACTAAAAGTGTTTATAAGCCAAAATCAATCATAACTTGGTCATCTCTAATTTATGTTTTTACAGTTTATAAGCACTTTTAATTTAACAAATCATTTTACAATTTCACCTTTACTATCCTTTTGTACCCCCTAAAATGTTCTCCCTAAAACATAACTTTGAATTTCTCTTTATTTTATTTCTGTCATTTGTCCTTTCTATTTGAAAATACTTTTAAATTAATTTTTTTTGTAAATAGATTTAACAACATTAATTCAGTCATTATATAATTAAAAAATATCAACAACATTTTACCAAATACATTATTTGTTTATTATCAATTTTAGCACCCTACGTGTAACCACTTATTTATAAAAGAAACTATGTCCCCCACCCCTCCACACACACACCAAACACTATATCTCTTTTGCAAATTTTATGTTGAGATTAATTATAGACATGTTTTGTATTAGAATTAGAGAGGGGACCTTGTTCATGCCAATGCTAATTTTATCAAGAGCAATAGAAGAGGGATTGCCTAGTGTGTGAGATATCATCTAATGATGCAACTACTAGAAATTGAGCTTCCAGTGGCGACTAATCGCTACTGAAGCCCAAAAAGTCGAAATAAAATTATTTTAGTAGCGACTTGAGCGCCATGGCAACTGACAAGTAGTTTCATAACTAAATGTTATTTATGACTACTTCTTAAGGACGCCACTAGAAACTCTTATTGTGGCGATAAGGGTTGCCACTAGAAATATTTATACTACAAAAATAGTTCTAATAACTTAAATATTGGGTGCCACTAAATATTGACTTAGCCCGAATTGTCACATTTACCTGAAATCCCAAATTTACCAAAGCTTGAATTCCCTGAAATTTCGAAACCTGAGCTGCCAACTCTGCCAAAGCCTAAATTGCCAGAATTCCCAAAGCCGGAGTTTCCACCATCTCCAAAGTCTGAACTTCAACTTTGCCAAAACTCGAGATTCCTGTCATTCCTATGACTGAATTGCCAACTTTATCAAAGCCAGAAATCCCTCAAGTGCCTAAAAAGCCCTGAGCGCGCGGCGTGTGAAATTTCTCTTCGCCTTATTGAAGTAATATTGATCATATGTGTTTCCCTTTGTTGTGATAAAATCATTTCCAGCTCTCTGTTTTGGAAGGATTATTTATGTAATTGTTATGCCATCAATTTACTAATATAAGGTGACTTTTACCTTAGCTAATTTTGTAGTTCCCTATCACTACCAAAAATAGGAAACTGTTGAAGGACAAATATATTCTTTAGTTAAATAGTAAAACTCAACGCTAATTCTATCTAGCTACGAATTATCAAAAAAAAATTATTGTTAATTACGAGCAATTTAGTGATCATGAATCATCTAGATTTTTGTAGTGTATTCATTTGCATTGAAATCTCTTTTTGACTCTAGAATGTAATACTCCCTCTGTCCCTAATTACTTGTCCATTTTTCCTTTTATAGATGTCCCTAATTACTTGTCCATTTTGACAAATCAAGAAAGGACAATTTATTTTACATATTATACCCTCAATTAATTACTTTGAAAAAGGTAGAACTTTTTGAAAATCTTAAATTTTTAAGTCATCTACTTCATAGTTAATATGGGTAAAATGATAAACTCACTATGTCAATAATTGTTTTCTTAATACATGTGCTAATTCAAAAGTGGACAAGTAATTAGGGACAAAGGGAGCATTTCAATATGCAACATTGCTTATCCATTTTAAAATTTTAAAATATTTTTTTGTAAAAATTTACAGTTGTCACGTCATTAAATAGGCACCAAATATAATATTTTGGGGAATCATGACTATGGAAGCTAACTTAGCTAAGTTGAGTGACTTTTGAAAGACAAAACAAAGTTGAGCGACTCTGAAGGCCATTTGGGACATATGTAAGGATGTTTATTAAACATTCAATCACCTAAACAACATAATGTTAGATTAATTAGGTAATACTTGTTATACAAGCTAGATTAATTAGGAGGTTATTGTTGAGAAGATGAACTAACATAGTTTTTTCATACCAAACCACAGCCAAAGACTAATTCTCCAATTTTTACTTTCACTATATAAACTTGTTTGAAGTGAAGTATAATGCATAATCAACAAAAGCATAAATTACTAATCTTGAAGCATTTATCACCTTTATACAATGGCTTATAAGTATACCCCATCTTTTTTCTTGTTATTATTTGTCACTTTGTTTTTAACAAGTAGTTATGTGATTCAAGCAGAAGCGCGCAATCTTCTTGAAGTAACTATCCCTGAACTTCCTAAGCCAGAATTGCCACATTTACCTGAAATCCCAACTTTGCCTAAGCTTGAATTCCCGGAAATTCCGAAACCTGAGTTGCCTACTCTACCAAAGCCCGAATTTCCAGAAATCCCAAAGCCGGAGTTTCCACCATTTCCAAAGGCTGAACTTCCAACGTTACCAAAACTCGAGATTCCTGTCATTCCTAAACCTGAATTGCCAACTTTGTCAAAGCCAGAAATCCCTCAAGTGCCTAAAAAGCCTTGAGCGTGACCGAAGCAGCATTGTTAAAAATGTATTGTGTTGTGTGATCATATATGTATTTCTTTGTTGTGCTATACAATCTGCCATTTGAAACTTTCCTTCCTGTACAAGAATTGTTTATGTATTTTTTTTCTGTCATCACTTCATTAATGTACTTGTGATTCTAGTGACATTATACATATCTCTCCGTTTCATTTTGACTTGACACAGACTTTAAGAAAGTAAAGAAAACTTTTGAATATTGTGATATTAAATTAAAAATATGTAGAATGTATCAAAATGTTTTTAATCTTGTAATCTTAGACATGCATATCAGGTGAAAAATTGAAACTAAAGAGTCAGCCAAAAAAGGAAAAGGACATTGTTTTTAAGTGGACAAAAGATGAAAATAAGACAAACAAATTGAAACAGGAGAGTTTTAGTTCATGAGTTGAGGCCCCAATATACATCAATATCACCAAATTTGCTATTAAAATATGAGACAGTTAAAAGTTGAGGTCATCCATGTCTTCGTCATTAAAATTTTGGTTTGAAAATTCCCTTTTGACACTACCAATATTACATAAGAAAAAAGTTAATATTTGTCCTTTGGTTTGATTAAATTTGTTCTCTGATGAAATGACTAACTGTAATTTCAAGCCAAATATTGCAACGACGAGGACATGAATGACCACATTAATTTTACGAATGGAAAAATTAAACCCTTTTACATAATTTTAAAGCAAATCAAACCCTTTTCCATATAATATATTTCTCCCATTATGTGGAGGTAACTAAATTATTGAAATAAATTTTACATAATTAATGTAGCCAATTATGGTCATATGGCTCAATAATAAACTAAAATAGAAATTCAATTTCACCATCTCTATATTTCTATCTGACACATATACCGTGCGTTATGATTCTGAGAGACCTTAGCCACATGGTCCACTAAGTTGCTCAGAGGCAAGTCTCCACTTCATCCACACCACGCCAATACAATAGATATACCTAAATCTATCTCTCTTAAAGATATTTTAATTATGTAATTATTTTAAAATATAATTATATTTAGTAGAGATGATAGTTGTTTAATTTCTATAGCTATAGTTAGTTTTTCCTTCTTTTTTATAGAAGAAACTAGAAAGTACGATAGGATATATATTTTTTATTTTTATACTATTTTTCTTCTTCAATCCCCTTTATTAAAA